TCCATATCATCCCAGTTGCTCACAACACCGTGCTCAATTGGGTACTTCAAGGTGAGAATACCTCTCTTGGACTGTGCTTCGTCACCAACGTAAGCATCCTTCTGGTTCATCCCAACCATGACACCATGATGTCTTGGCCTACCAACAACACTGGGGAAAACAGCCCTGGGAGCATCATCTCCGGCAAAACCAGCCTGTACACAGAAGTTATGAAGTCATGAAAGAGAACATTCCACATATCTGAAAACAGAGTAAACAGACAAGTACTAACCTTGACCATACCGGTACCATTGTCACAGACGATGGGTTGAATGTCATCAGCCTCAGCCATTTTTTATAAGCTACCAAAACATAAAAAGAGAAGGATACTGTTAAATGAAACCTCTATCAAATCGAAATCAAATCACTACAGGAGTTACTAATTTGTCTAGTAATATATTTGTAAATCCAAACCAAATTCAGTGTTGTTGATGTTATGATTTATAAATTAAATCCTAATTCAAATCAGGTGGATTTATTAATGAATTTGATTTCATAATGAATTTGAGTGGATATGGAAGATTTTTTTTTTTTGTTTAAAAATACAAATATTCAAATTCGAATTAAACATCACAATTTGTAAATATTAGATTTTTGAAAACAGTAAACTTCATATTTATATAGACATACAAATTTAAATACATAAACGAATAACAGTTTCAGAATAGCAAATCCAGTCAACTTATGAGACTAAAAAATCCAAGAATCGACAAGATAATCCTGCAAATCCAATCCGAAACGTGACGGTTCATGTTAAGCTTCTACTAGCCCTTAATCGATTGCTCAAGCTTTCATCTAACCATAACAGTTCAGATCTCTATTGAAATCTGACAATCATTTCCATAAAACAGTAAATCTGAATACGAATCTCTATCACTATTTGAGATCTAAGATCACTAATCGAGCTAAAGATGATCGGTCAACTGAATTTGTTTCTCCGAATTAGTAGTTCACAGATCCAAATCTAATCAATTCCAGATCTCTACGGGGTTCATAAACAACATATAGATCCAGCATAGAAACTTTTCTTTACCTCGAACGAGAAAGATCGAGAAGCTGAAGAAATAAGAAACCAAAAAGATTCCGATCTCTCGCTTTGATCTTTCTTCTCGCCGGAGATAGTCAACGGCCGATGAAAGTGTGAGGACAACGAGACGATTCAAAGCAAGGAGAAATGTTGCTGAATTTATATAGGCGGCTTATCTTTCTTTCCGTCCTTTCAAATTTATAAAATTTAAATTAAATAATAATCGACAAGAGACGAATCATTTCGGCCACAGGAAAAGATAACGTGACCTGGCTGTCAGACAGCCTTTACTGTTTAATTCCCCTTTTTAAATTTTAATTAAACATCTCAGCCGTTAGATTAGTTTAATGACTTATTCGTGTTAGCTGAGATGGCTTGTTTGTCTGTGATCAAAGCCGTAAAATGACAGCTCCATTTATCAGCTTAACCGAGTCAAATACAGGCAACGATCGATAGTCGTGGTTGGCTTGTTCAATTTAGATTTTGATCACAAAGTTCAACTTTTAATTTATTCATTTTCTATTAGGACTAGAATCGTCATTTGGAGTAGGAATAAGTAAGATCAGACCGTGAAAGAAAGTGATTTTCATGATGTGTTATGTCGATTATATTAATATTCCATCGTATTCGTGATTAATGTATTATATGGTGGCTACTAAGTCGTCAAAACGATTGTGAGTTTAATTATATCTGTTTGCTGACACAGTAATAGTTGTGAATAGATATTGATATTTGATATTTTGTATAACTTAATGTATGGTATATAAGTATGTGTTGAGTTTTGAGACACCATTACACTGAGTCTAGCCATTTTCTTATGACTCATACTACTATCTCAAAATTAACTCTTATCACATGATAAATAACGTGCATGGGCTTTCATTCGCTGTTAGCTTTCATGTCCTACTAAATAGATTTAAGCACATGCAATTCAAAATACTTTAGGTTATAGATTTGATTTAGAGAAAGTGGTGACCATCTAGTTAGACTACAAAAGGAGTAGCCGAGTACATATATTGGACCCCATCTAGTTAGGTTACAAACCGAGTTTATAAACGTATGATAGTTATAATTAATATCAAATCATCGTGGGCATAGCAAGTTAAAATATTAGCAATGAAGCTACAAACCTCATGTTCAACCAAAAAAAAAAAGAGAACAACTATGATTAATCGTAAACCTCTTTATTTTTGTTAATAGACGATATATAATCAAAAAGTCTACTTTTGTGACTACTTTTGTGATCAACTTGAATCGCACGTGCCGGGTACGATCGAATTGGAAAAAGAATGTGGGAAGGTTAAGCTTAAGCTGGCACCTACGAAAACGTTGTGTCCATCATTACGAAACTACTTCTGATTTTCATTGCTACTATTATGATTACATTTGATTCTCACTGTTTATTATATATAAGGGTTATATGAGGCAGGCCATGTTCATGTTTTTTTTATATATTATAAAGTTCCATATAAATGGCAGGCCACGTTCATGTCTTTTGTTGGAGAAAAGTCAATTAAGGTTAGTTTTCCTGGATTTAGAATGTATTTATGGGTTGCTTGATCCTAGAGATAGGGCTGGGCATTTTATCCGTTATATTTGATTCGATCCGTTATTCGTTTCGATTCGATCCGAAAATTCCGGATATCCGTAAACTTTCGAATCAAAGCAAATACTAAAATTCAATATCCGTTAAAAGCGAAGCAAATCACAAATATTAAAATTTTGGAAAGCGGATATCCGATCCGATCCGTAAATATATAAATATATGTATATTTTGATTATATTTAAAATTTTAATTGTATAAAATTATATAATTATTATTTTAGCACATGATTTTGAACAATTCTATTCAAATTATTACTTATATAAAAGTATTACATAAAAAGAGATAAAATATTTTTGAAAATTATATTTTTTTCTTAAATTTTGTGTTACTGTAATTGTAACTTAAACTTTAAAAAATTACAAAATCTATAAATTCACTAGTTCTTTTAAGTTTTATTTTATATATCATGCAAAAAATATTTTTGCAAAGCAAATTTGTATCAAAATCTTAAGATTATTTGTACTAATTAAAATGGATGAGATATCCGTAAATATTCGTAAATATCCGCAAATATCTATTTATTTTCCGGANGTACTAATTAAAATGGATGAGATATCCGTAAATATTCGTAAATATCCGCAAATATCTATTTATTTTCCGGATATCCGTTTTTCCGGATATCCGTATTTTTTCGAAGCAAAGCAAATACCAAAATTAGATATCCGTAACATTCGAAGCAAATCACAAATACCTTAAAAAACCCGGATATCCGATCCGTGCCCACCCCTACCTAGAGATCTAAAGCTTTTTCTTCCTCTCAACTTTACTAGTAGTGGCACACCACAATCCACCCATAAAGTTTTTTTGCTTTTTTTGAAATATGGATTTATTACTTCTAAATTTAAATGGTCTAATCCCTACATGTTATATAAATCAAATGGATCCTATATTGGTAACATATATTTTTATACTGGTTTTCACATGAAGTTGCATTTTTACTCGGTTAATATATCAGGTCTACTGATATTATACTGTATATTCATTCTGTTACACGTACGGTAGTATAAAATTGTATTGTATCATTGTATGTATGCTAGGCCTGTTCAATCTGGTGTTCGATCCGGTTTCGGTTTGGTTTTTTTCGGTTTTCGGTTATTCGGTTTATAAAAATTAGTTACCATATAGGAACCATATTTAATTTGGTTTGGTTCGGTATTTATACTACCGGTTTTCGGTTTATTCGGTTTTATACCAAATAACATTATTATTTGATTTGGTTTTATATATATGAATTTTAAAAAAAAAACATATTGTCAAAACTATCATTTATTAAAATAATCCAGGTGTTCATAATATAAAAATGTGAAATTAACAACAAACAAAACGACCAACGATTCAGTTTTGTACAGTTCTTCTTATTTTCTCTTTGTTTTTCCAAATAAATTACATAGTACGAACTAATTTCACAGATAATAGTTGAAGAAAATAAAATAAAATTATTAAGATATATCTTCACAAGAAATAAAAAAGTTAAAAAAGACTATTCCAAGAAAATAAATGGTTATATAATGTATATATTTATATATTTTTTTCTTTGATCGGTTTTGTTCGGTTTATTCGGTTTAATCGGTTATAAACCTAACCATATCCAAATCCTACGGTTTTTATAAAATCATATCCATTCGGTTTATATGGTATATACCAAATCCAAACCATATTGTCTATTTCGGTTCGGTTCGGTACGGTTCGGTATTACTATATTGAACACCCCTAATGTATGCTAAAATAAAGTTTTTGAAAATAAAGGAAACAAGCATGAAGCACCCATCCGTCCAATAATGTAATATGAAATTCGGTTTGCTAGTTTTTTTCATTTTAAACCATCTCTTTAAGCACATAAAATCCATTAATAAAATTTGACATGAAATTAATAAAACTTAACATTAAAATATGTATATATAAAATAATTGAACAAGAAATTTAAGTTGTGAAGAAACAAACAAGGGATGATGCCACATTAGATAAACTGATTTTTTTCTCGGTTTTGAGGTCTAATTTACTTTTACAAAATGAATGACATCGTCCAATTATTAAAGTAGGTGAATTATTATATGAAAGAAAAAGTTAGTGAATTATTTCAGGGATCAAAACTTGACAATAATATGATCAAGAACCTAACAATTATTTGTTTCTGGTGAGACAAACCTTTTGAATATCATGTACACACTACACCGGCAGGTTACGGTGGTTATGAACTTATGATCAAGGGAAATCATTTCAGAAATTATGAAACAGATCCATAAAACCAAAATTATTATTTTGTCGGCAACAAATTATGTTTGATACTGTTTTATTGGGCTTTATTAATAGTCTCAAAACGACCTGGCAATTCTACATGTACTCTGTTTAGTTGGGGTTTTGAAAACCATGGGCCTTTTGAACATGGTCTGAACATTGAACTACAGATAAACTGTGATCTCGCATAAATTCTAAAGGCGTGGAATCCATGGTGGTTGTTGAATCTGAGTTTTGTACGGTCGATTGACTAGAAAACTAAACTTGATTTGTGGGTTCTTCGAAGGCGTTTTATTAATCAGAGTTGATATCAAAAGGAGATTACAGAAAGATTCGAGAAAAGAACAAAGGTCGGAGCTTTACGAAAGTCCGACCAGATTACAAGGAGGTTCGATTGATCGTAAAACCCTAAACCTTGCCGTCA